GGAGGTTGCGGTGAGCCGAGATCGCGCCATTGCACTCCAGCCTGGGAAAAATAAGGAAAACTAATTAAAAAAAAAAAAAAAAAAAAAGAAAGAAAGTAAAGGAATAAAAGAAAAGAATGCCTACTCCATTGGCAGAAAGCAAGTTTATTAAGAAAGCAAACAAATGAAAGAATGGCTACTCCATAAGCAGAGCCTACATCCAGCTAATGTGTGACGTTAAGAAAAAATTACCAGTGTCAGTGTATTCCTGTGCATGAATGCTAAATTTCAAAATTTGAAGATTCATTAGAAAATATCACTGAATGTAAATTATACAACAGTAGAGGGTACAATCAATATTGATTTCATATTGCCATTTCCTATTTTCACTACTGTGTCCATTTCCCTTCTGGTTTTTACTCTAAATGAGAAAACATCTTTTGAAACTTATGACCGAAGATACTTTGCTTATATGTTGAGCAGTGCTGTGTTTTACCTAGAAGTAAAATGGGGCATGTTATTTAACTTATTGAATAAAAAGCATTATGTTTCTACCATGTACAGGCACTGTGCAAAAATGATGGAGATTAAAAAAATGACTAAACAATAACTCCTGTGCTTAAAGACTTGATAATGTAAGACAGTGACATCCTGTGAAGTGAAAGCTAGGCTTTTATGAAAGATACCATTAGCCTGTATTAAGGGATACCTGTAAGAAACAAGTCCTTGAATCTCTTACTCTGTTTAATCAAAGTTTGAAGGTATTCTTCATTGTATTATACAGTATCCATTGCCTGAAGATCTTAAAATATATATATTTTATATATATACATATATATTTTTGAGACTGAGTCTCTCTCTGTCACCCAGGCTAGCATGCAGTGCAGTGGCTTGATCTTGGTTCACTGCATTCTCCTCCCCCCAGGTTCAAGCAATTCTTCTGCCTCAGTCTCCCAAGTAGCTGGGATTACAGGCAGCCCCTACTGTACCTGGCTAATTTTTGTATTTTCAGGAGAGACAGGGTTTCATCATATTGGCCAGGCTGGTCTTAAACTCTTGACCTCAAGTGATCCTTCTGCCTCGACCTCCTGAAGTGTCAGGGATTACAGGTGGTGAGCCACCATGCCCAGCCTAGGAGAAATTTCTTAGTATCAGAAATTCTTATGCTTCTTTTGAATGATGATTTTCTCTTAACATAAAAGTATTTCTTTTTGGTATACATTTCATATGTTAGCTCCAGTCTAGGCTCCATTTTGTGTACCAGTTCCCAATCCTTAAGTTTCTTTTAACTAAGCCTTTTTTTTTTTTTTTTTTTTTTTTTTTTTTTTTTTTTTAAGTTAAAAAATAGAGACCAGATCTCACTATATTGCTCAGACTGGTCTTGAGCTCTTCGCCTCAAGTGATCCTTCAGTTTTAGCCTCCCTAGTAGCTGGGATTATAGGTGCAAGCCACTGCACCCAGCCCAATTCAATTTTCAAAAGCAATTGTTTATTGAATATTATTTTTCTATTTAGTATTTGATGTTTTGTTACCATACTCTAAGTAGATTGTGAGGTTATGTTTTGTTTTACTGATTATAAGATTTTAAAACATCCAAATGTGTAGCAGTATATTTTTGAATTTGGGTAGTGTCTGTTACAGCAGTTAGATGCTTTCTCATGTCCAATTTAAATATTTTGTTGTGTTTTGGTAAAGATATACTTGGGTGACTGGTAAAGAGCCACTTACATACTATGACATGAACTTATCAGCTCAGGACCATCAGACCTTTTTCACCTGTGACACAGATTTTTTACGTCCTTCAGACACAGGTATGTGTCATATCTGTTCATATTATAAACAGTGATCATGAAATTTATTTTAAAAAAATTTTAAAGTTATTTATTATACAGCATTATTTGGCTTGGAGTTGTTTATATTATTGATAAAACTCAGATTAAATTAAATTATGATTGTAAGCTAGGCTGATACACTGCTTTTCCTTATTAAAGAATTTAAAATATTTCATACTTCTTTTATTACTTAAAAAACCTTTCAGATCTAATATGGCAACTACTTTTCCAGAAAACAGTGTACCCTGTTTCATTCTGGGAAATTTAACACCTGCAATTATACATCAAATAAAAGACTAGGACAATGTATAAACATTGGAGAATGGCATGTAAAGAAAACTGGAGTGTATTTTGTTTTAGTTACGAGTTAGAGATGCATATAAAGTGGTAGAAGATCATAGACGTTTCTGTGTTTAGTTTTCTCTAAGTGCTTATCTATAGAAGAGAGTATTGAGACTCTTAATTGTCTGGCTTAATGACAGGGCTCATTGATTGATTGATTGATTGATTGATGGTTTCACTCGGTCGTCCAGGCTGGAGTGCAGTGGTGCAGTCATAGCTCCCTGTACCCTCAAACTCATTACAAAACATTAGAATTATATCCATGAGCCACCATGCCCTAGGCTGGGATCTTTATCACAGTTTTTCTTCTACTTTGAATGCACTCACCCTCTTTATTTATCTGATGAGTTATTTATATATATATGTATGATGGGGTTTCACCACGATGGCCAGGCTGGTCTTGAACTCCTGACCTCAGGTGATCCACCCACCTTGGCCTCCCAAAGTGCCAGAATTACAAGCGTGAGCCACCGCGCCCGGCCCTGATGAGTTACTTTTATCCTTCATTATCCAAATTAAAAGCCACATTTCCTAGAAAGCCTTCTCTGGGATTCCTTGCCACAGAGTTCAGTACTTTGTTTTCTGCAATTCTATACTACTTAGTCCAAACCTCTATGAAGTAACTTCAGTTATTCAACCACAAACATTTACTTGTTAATGTTATCACATTGCTTTAATGTTTGTCTTTACTACTAGGGTATGAACTTTTGGAGAGCAGGGACTACATTCTCTTCATCTTTGAATTCCTATTATCCAGCACATTGCCTGGCATAATGTAGATATTGATATTTATTCTTTGATGAAAGTATAAATGAATGAATGGCCTAGGTGTCACAGATGTCTTAAGCAGTTTCACTAATAATAGCTAACACTTGTTTAGGCTTACTATGTGCCAGGCATTGTTTTTAATCTTCCCAGTCACTTTATGAGATACGTACTATCATCAGCCCTGTTTTAACAGTAACGAAACCAAAGCAAAGGGGGATCAAGTAATATGTCTTGAGTCACACAGCTAATAATGATAAAACTGTGTTTCAAACTCAAGATTGGCTGTTAACCACTACACTATTACTGCTGCTACCCACTATAAACTCACTGAAGGGTCTGAAAAATAGCCAGTTTCCTGCATTAAAATGAGTTAATAGTGATTTATCTTTGCTAGATTAAATGTGTTAAGAGTGGATGACAGGAGGAAAACCAAGGATCTTTGGTATGGTTACATAAAATGGTTTAATTGCAAATAAAGGAGAAAAAGAATAGACTTACGTTTATATACTTTAAGTTTATATTAATGGCAAAATGATAGGTGCTGGGGAAATAACAGCAGTACAATATCAGTATTGTATGGTAACTTTAAGGGTTGAGTGACTCTGGAAGTTAGGCCTCACCACCCTTTCTCTCACAGCCCCTCTTACAGAGTAACATTGAATTGCAAACATCAGCAGGCTTTTAAAATAACAATCATGGCTGTCTACTAAAGGTGTGGTATTGAAATACCACATTTTAATTTGAATAACTCCTAAAAGAATTTTGGAAAAGAATATGTCCCTTCACACCTTTTTAAGTCAACGTCATAAGGTTAAATAATCATAGATAATGTAATTTTTGACAAACTGCAAAATGCAGACATTTAAAAATAATAGTATACCCTATATTTCAATGTGTGTTATGAAATGAAATGATTTAATGCCCACCACATCCATTGAAAAAGACATGAATAGGCCAAGGGCAGTGCCTAATGCCTGTAATCCAAGCACTTTGGGAGGCCAAGGTGGGAGCATCCTGTGAGTCCAGGAGTTCAAGATCAGCCTGGGCAACATACTGAGACCCCATCTATACAAAAAAGTTTAAAAATTCACCAGGTGTGATGGGGCCACGCCTGTAAAATTAGCTGGGCATGGTAGCACATGCCTGTAACCCCAGCTACTTGGGAGGCTGAGGTGGGTGGATCTCTTGAGCCCAGAAGGTCAAGGCTGCAGTGAGCTCTGATGGTGCCACTGCACTGCAGCCTGAGCAGCAGAATGATAACCTGTATCTAAAAAAAAAACAACCAACCAACAAACAAAAAAAATACTTAAACAAATGCTATTTTTTTGTTTTTTGAGGCAGAGTTTCGCTCTGGTTGCTCAGGCTGGAGTGCAATGGTGTAATCTCGGCACACCGCAACCTCTTCCCTCCTGGGCTCAAGTGATTCTCCTGCCTCAGCCTCCTGAGTAGCTAGGGTTACATGGTATGCACCACCATGCCCGGCTAATTTTGTATTTTTAGTAGAGGGGGCGGTTTCTTCATGTTGGTCAGGCTGGTCTGGAACTCCTGACCTCAGGTGATCTGCCCGCTTCGGCCTCCCAAAGTTTTGGGATTATAGGTGTGAGCCACTGCGCTTGACTTACCAAATGCTCTTTAACAATGGTAAATTTTGTCTTTTTTCTTATTGAACACATCTGTTTTATACCCCTATGTAACTTTATTATTATTTTATGCTGTAGAGTCTTGTATCACACTTCCATCCTTTTCCCAATAAAACATTATAGTGTAACTTATTAAAATTTGAATTTCATTTGACTGTAAGATTCTAAGTGTTGTGATGTGCTTTAATTGTATTTCTGTCAAATCCTTAGAGCTACATATTTAGCTCTTTAAACTTTGGAAAGAGTTCTGTGTATTAATTATCTAATTGACTGGGTGAGTTCTCATTGTCAGTTCTATCAACCAAATCAGATTTACTTTCTGACAGAGAAGTCTGAGTTCATTTTTCAATTTATTTATTTTTTTTTCTGCTAACTAGAATAACCAGTTTACATTTTTCAATTTAAATAAACATATTAACATGCTTCACGATGACAACCATCTCTCTTCTGAATTCAGGCTCTAAGATAGAAAGATAGCTGTGTCTTGGAACTTTGCCTAGAACTTATCACTTGCCCAAAATAAGGCTTCACTGCCTTTATTACTCCTGGCTAATGCCTGCTTTGCCTTGATGTGAGGGGACCTTCCCTTAGGAGCAATCCATTCTTTGATAGTAAGGAGGGAGGGGTGCTAATGGAACTGTTAAAAATTGTTATCACTCCCTTCTCCATTCTGTAATATACTTGAATTCAGAGTATCTGGGGCCAGAATACTTTATTTCCAACGCCAAACTTTACTGTTAAATAAGTAAAAGGCAGGAATCCTATTATAGGATGCCTTAATTTACCCATGGCTGCCCCCAACCCAAACTTTGAATTGTCCCTTTGGCACCTGGAAATTTTTACAGTATAGGGCATTGCACCCTGTAAGATTCAGGATGGATAAGAAGTAAGCATTTTGTGTGTAAAATAGGAGAAAGAAAATGTCTTTGCAGGGAGCGGGTATGGGGATTGTGGGAAAGGGAAACGAGGGAAACATTATTGGTAGATCAGTTATAGAAAAGAGTGATAAAGTTGAGGCTTTAGAAGTTGATTTTCTTAAAAAATAAAAAAAAAAAAGTTGATTTTCTTAAAACCATGTATCCCATTTTGGTCCTTGCAAAGTTTCATCTACTTCTCTAGAGGTGTGTCTAACTGCAGCTAAAGGTTGAACTCAAGGAGGACAGAGCATATCTGTGAATGATCTTCAAAAATGGACTATTGATTCCATATTGATCTTTTCAGACCCTCACATGAAGGTCATGATTTATATCAGTAGTTTTATATTCAAAAATACAAATGTGTATATTTATGATGTGGCAAATTTTTCTTGACTTATTGTCATCAACTAATTAGTAGATTTTCTTCTTCTATTAATTATCTAGGACAGAGAACAAACATATCCACAAGGGCCCAGCAATGTTTTTTTTTATTTTTCTTCAACATTTAAAAATCAGGAGAATTTACATTAAAATCTGAATTTACACTTTTTGAAGGTTGAAAAATAGGGCAAAATTGAACCTGCATTTACACTTGGTAGTAATCAGATGGAACTGAGTTGTGGCTCTCCGCTTTAGACAGTGAATGTGCTTTCACTTTACTCATTTATGTTTAATGCCTGGCATTTGTAGGCATTTACATTTATGACCCCTGGCCTTATGATAACTGCTGATCTGTTTTGTTTTGTGCTTGTTAGCGTATTACAATATTATTTAACTTTAAAAATACATAAATTTTGTCTGGGCGCAGTGGCTCATGCCTGTAATCCCAGCACTTTGTAAGGCCAAGGCAGGCAGATCGCCTGAGGTTGGGGGTTTGAGACCAGCCTGACCAACATGGAGAAACCTTGTCTCTACTAAAAATACAAAAAATTAGCTGGGCATCGTGGCGGCTGCCTGTAATCCCAGCTACTTGGGAGGCTGAGATAGAAGAATCGCTTGAACCCGGGAGGCAGAGGTTGCAGTGAGCCGAGATGGCACCACTGCACTCCAGCCTGGATGACAGAGTGAGGCTCAGTCTCAAAAAAACAAAAACAAAAACACACAAAAATACGTAAATTTGAGTGAATTGCTCATTGCTTCTGTTAATTATATATTCAGCATATCAAGAGTTCTTAAAGAGAACAGTTGAATACCAAATCAGCATTTTGTTTTAAATTACTCCTAAGCCTTACTTTAGAAAAAAATACATATTTTTTCCTGTCAACTTTATTTCTTCTTTTCCCTTAGCCTTAGCACTGCTTTGGTTGTAAAGAGTATTCTTGAAAAGCCCATAGGGCATTTGAAAACAAAAGAATAAGATAAAATATTTAAAGGAGAAATTTTAAAAAACACAAATGAAAATGAGATAAGTTTCAGATGTTAAATTAGCAAAGATTGATTATATTGTGTTAAGGTGTTAAATTAGCAAAGATTGATCATACTGTGTTACCCTGGCTGAAAAAGTGTAAGTTAATACAGTCTTACTGCAAGGAGTTTGGGGAGTATGTATCCATAATCTTTTTTTTTCTCCTGTTTCCCCAAACTTGTTACATAGCCAGAATCTTTTAAAAGATACATTTTTTTTAGCCAGCTGTTCTACTTTTAGAAAGGAAATATTTGATTAGATATGAAAAGATACATAGTGAAAGATTGTTATCACAGTGTTTTTATATTAGCCAAAAATTTAGTATAACTTAATTGTCCATCAAAAGGGAATTGGTTAAATAAATTAGGACATGTATTTAATATACTAGAGTACCAAATAACAATTTAAAATGTTATTAAAGATTCAGTGTCAAAATTTGACTTGTAAATATCATATAACTCATAGAAGATAGTCTGTAATCAAAAATTACAAGTCTAATATTATGCATTATTTTAATGTAATATTTAGTGTTGCAGCAGAATAATGTTCTTTACCTGGCCAGGATCAGATGGGTGCTGACTTGCATCTATTTGTCAAGTTCAGGAAGCATTAGGTGTCAGCTAGCTGGTGACATGTTTCATATGAGAAATGTATTTTTGTTACACAAGTGGAATACATTGTCTCCTTTTCTAAGCCAAGACTAATGTTTTGTTTCCAAAGGAAAATTCAAACATTTTTCACATTATTCTTCCTGGACAGCTGTAGGTTTTATTCCAAAAGCAACACTCATAGGTTCTCTATTTTTCTTATCAAACTTGAAATGGGCCAGATAATCTTCTGAGTCTACTTTATTTGTTTGTTGATTTAATTAAAGAAAACTTTACTTACTGTGAAGTCTTCATTTTGGCACAGTAAATCGTAGCAAAATTAATATTCCAAAGAACTCCTAACTTAGGCCTTTGTTGAATCCTGATAGAGGCTGTCATTTTCAAGAGGTACTATATTCCAAATTAATTTCTCTTTTTTTTTTTTTTTTTTTTTTTTTTTTTTGAGTCAAAGTCTTATTCTTGTCACCCAGGCTGGAGTGCAATGGTGTGATCTTGGCTCACTGCAACCTCCCCCTCCCGGGTTGAAGCGATTCTCCTGCCTCAGCCTACTGAGTAGCTGGATTACAGGCGCCTGCCACCATGCCTGGCTAATTTTTGTATTTTTAGTAGAGACAGGGCTTTTCCATGTTGGTCAGGCTGGTCTTGAACTCTCAACCTCAGATGATCTGCCCACCTCAGCCTCCCAAAGGGCTAGGATTACAGGCATGAGCCACTGTGCCTGGCCTTTTTTGCCCTTTTTACACAAAATGCAAGTCCATACATTCTTCCTAGAGTAAATCAATCATTAGGCAAAGACTTTGTTTTTAAATTTTTGTATATTTTTGTTTTTAGCAGCTCCATAGAACCTTTTCAGAGTGATAAAAGTAGAACTGTAATATTTTATATTGACTATAATGTGATGTCACTTAAACTCCGTGTTAACCTGCATTTAGATATATAAATATTCATGTATAATGATGATATAATTAACTTGTTTAAGTACCCTGTATATTCAAATAAATCTGAGAAAGAATATATTTGTTTATATTTTATGTGAAGCTTCCAAATTTAATGTAAATTTCTCATATGGCTAATGTGAGCTAATAAACCAGTTTCTTGTTTTGTGTGTTTAAGAATATATTATTTAAAGCTTTGTTTACTCCATTAGCTTATTCTTCATACATTTTGCAGATTATTTGTTTACCATCTCATCTACTTTTTGAAATATTTTTTTCTACAGTTATGCAGAAGGCATGGAGGGAAAGAAATCCTCCAGCTCGAATCAAAGCAGCCTATCAAGCTTTAGAATTAAACAATGAGTAAGTTTGAAATTTATGAAAAATAAATTTATTTTGAAGGAAACCAAGACAAACGATTTTTTTGAGACACAGTGTCACTCTGTCAACAGACTGGAGTGCAGTGGTGTGATCTTGGCTCACTGCAACCTCCGCCTCCCAGGTTCAAGGTTTTCTCTTGCCTCAGCCTCTTGAGTAGCTGGGACTACAGGCACGTGCCACCACACCCAGCTAATGTTTGTCTTTTTAGTAGAGACGGGGTTTCACCATATTGGCCAGGATGGTCTTGATCTCCTGACCTCATGAGATCAGGAGATCAGCCTGATCACAGCCTCCCAAAGTGCTGGGATTACAGGCATGAGCCACTGCATCTGGCCAAGTAAATGATTTTTATGTCTCCTTTTGTCTGTTCCTACGACACTTGGAGCCATTAGTGGTCCCATTTCCCTTTTGCATGTTATGGATATTTAATAAAATTTTCAGCGTTTGCCAACATCTGTGTTTGCTTCTGAAATTGTAAATCTATATATGCTTTTGAATAGAAATTATGCTAGAAATACTTTTCAAAGTGGGGAATGCTCGTGGAGAATGGTGATAATACTTTATAGTTAAAAGGGTACTAAAATAATAATGTACTTATGCCACCTGTTGTAATTTTTTCATTTAAGTCATTAAAGCATTCATTCAATCTTGAGTATTTTAGTTGTTAGTGGACTTGAAGGCATGAGAAGGGGATTAAAAATAAGTAAAACATAGCTGTGTCAAGTTTATTTTTTTCATACTAGCAGCATTTTTTACAGTTCTTTGTATGAACTTTATATTTTGAAAAGGCAGAATGTGAAATCATAAGGCAAGTTAATATTTACAAGGAACAGATCAATAAACACTAACCTAATGCAGACTGAATAAATGCCAAGAGTGAAAATATGGTTCCAGTTGGGATTTATCAAGGAATGCTTCCTGAATAGTGTAAATTTAGAGTTGTTCCCTGAACCTTCTCTCCCCAGTATATATATTATCGTCATTTTTTGTTTATTTGTTTGTTTTATTTTGTTTTGAGATGAAGTTTTGCTCTTGTTGCCCAGGCTGGAGTGCGGTGGCACAATCTTGGCTCACTGTAACCTCTGCCTCCCAGGTTCAAGCGATTCTCCTGCCTCAGCCTCCCAGATTGCTGGGATTACAGGCGCCTGCCACTACACCTGGCTAATTTTTTGCATTTTTAGTAGAGACAGGGTTTTATCATGTTGGCCAGGCTGGTCGTGAACTTCTGACCTCAGGTGATCCACCCACCTTGGCCTCCCAAAGTGCAGGGATTACATGTATGAGCCACCACACCTTGGCCTAGTATATATGTTATCTTTATTAAGAAGAATTTCCCGGCCGGGCGTGGTGGCTCAAGCCTGTAATCCCAGCACTTTGGGAGGCTGAGGCGGGTGGATCACAAGGTCAAGAGATCGAGACCATCCTGGTCAACATGGTGAAACCCCGTCTCTACTAAAAATACAAAAAATTAGCTGGGCATGGTGGTGCGTGCCTGTAATCCCAGCTACTCAGGAGGCTGAGGCAGGAGAATTGCCTGAACCCAGGAGGCGGAGGTTGCGGTGAGCCGAGATCGCGCCATTGCACTCTAGCCTGGGTAACAAGAGTGAAATTCCGTCTCAAAAAAAAAAAAAAAGAAGACTTTCCCAAGGTGGAGCAAAAATGTCAGAGTAAAGAACTCCAAAATAGTAAACTGGCAGAAACTGTCAGCATCAACTTTGTTAAAACTCTGGAAACTAATCAGAAGTTTACAGTAACCTAGTGAATGCTTACTCAAGGGAAAAAACACCCGAATCTCTCTAAGAAAGCTTTGCAGTATTTTATTTACCCTTGCCCCATTCCTTACTCCCTAGCTCAGTGACAGTCTTGAAGACAATAGTGTACATGCCAGGTATAGGTTTCTAGTACCAGAGGATGTGGAATGGACCTTATTTTCAAAGAACTGTGGTTGTTTGTTTTGCCCTGTCTGGTGGCTCCCTGAAGGACTAGCTCAAAGGGCTTGCTTTATTTCAACTTACTGAAAGAAGAGTTTTCAATTTCAGAACTCTCGCAAAACTGACATAACTACACTTGGGTCATTTGCTGAAAACATTTAAAGACAAATACATCAGCTACTGCTGCCTGGGGCAAGTGATAACAGGAAGGACAAGCAACAGACGAACCAGAAAGCTTGTGAGCGAAGGCTGGGGAATGAGACACTTTTAGAAATAAAGTCTTTGAAAAGCTCCCACATATTTCTGGGAATCTAAAGACCCTACACACAGCCAGAGCTGGGCACATGCTCAGAAGAGACTTGAGAAAGTCCTAAACTCTCGAGTCTGGCTAACCTTCATGTTCTGCACAAGTAGGAGGTGAAGGCTAAGGCAGAGTTGTAAACTGTTAGGCTGAATGTTGAAGGTATGCCCTAGCACCCACACAGAGCCCATTTGCAAATACTTTTGCCGTTTGTATTTTGTTTGGTTTTGATCTCAGGCGTTTAAGGAAATCTCTATCTAATCATCAAATGACCACGAGGCTAAAATAGCACAGATGACACTGGTCATACATGACAAATAATACAGATTTTATAAAATTGGTTCAGAAAAGTCACTAAACAACTGCAAAAGTAGCAACAACAAACCCTAGGAAGTAGAGAATATTATATTTCTAGAGTTGCTAAAATAAAATATTTAGAATTTCCCATTTTCAACAAAAAATTACAAGGCATGCAAAGAAACCAGAAAACATGGCCCATACATAGGAAAGAAAAGAAATTAGGCTGGGTGTGGTGGCTTATACCTGTAGTCCCAACACTTTGGGAGGCCAAGGCAGAAGGATTGCTTGAGCTCAGGAGTTTGAGACCAGCCTGGGAAACATAAAGAGACCCTGTCTCTAAAAAGAAAAGAAATTAATAGAAAAGAGTGCCCCTGTGAAGCCTAGACTTTGGACTTAATAAACAAAAAGTTTAAATCAACTATTTTAAATGTGCTCCAGGAGGTAAAGGAAACCATGATAATGATCTCTCACCATTAGAGAATATTAGTAAAGAGGAAGAAATAATAAAAAGGACCCAAATAGAAATTTCAGAATTAAAAAGCTTAACTAAAATGAAAAATATACCATAGGTGTTCAGCAGCAAGCAGGTTTGAGCAGACAGAAGCAAGAACCAGTGAATTTCATTTAAGTCAATTGAGATTACCCAATTCAAGGAGCAGGAAAAAATTAAGGAATAAAGAAATATGACCTAAGAGAACTGTAGGATGCTATCAAGCATACCAATCTATGCATTATAGGAGTTCCAAAAAAGAGAGAGAGAAAAGGGCAGAAAGAATATTTGAAGAAATAATAGCTGAAAACAAAATAATAGCACACCAATTACAGCAGCATATTAAAAAATGTTACACACCTTGAGCAAGTAGCATTTATTCCTGGAGGCAAGAATGGTTAAACATTTGAAAATCAGTAAATGTAGCACACCATATAAACAGAATGAAGCAAGAAACCACATGATTATCTCAACTGATGTAGAAAAAGCATTTGACACAATTCCCAATCTTGATAAATAAATGGAAATCAATTAATGTAATATTCCCCGTTAATAGACCAAAGGACAAGAGCTACATGATCATCTCAGTTGATGAAAAAAAGATCTGACAATATCCAACACCATTTTATGATGAAAATATTTAAAACTAGGAATGGAAGGAAATTTCACAAGAACATCTGAAAAATTCATTCTAAATACATGCTTACTGATGAAAGAATGAAAGGTTTCCCTCCACAGTCAGGAAGAAGGCAGGACGTCTGTACTTGCACTTCCATGTTACATGGTGTACTGGAGGTTCTAGTCAGTGCAGTTAGGCAAGACAAATTTTTACATGGCATTTAAATTGGAAAGGAAAAAGTAAAACTATCTTCAAACACAGACGGCATGATTTTATTTGTAGAAAACCTTAATCCACAAAAAAAGAAAAAAAAACCTAGAGCTAATGAAAGAGTTGACAAAATTGTAAGAAACAAAATCAACATATGAAAATCAGTTGGATATCTATATCCTAGCTATGAAACAATGAAAAGGAAATTAAGAAAACAATTCCATTTACAAAGGCACCAGAAAGATTTAAATACTTAGGAATAAATTTAACCAAGGAGGTGCAAGACTTGGATGCTAAAAACTATAAAGCATAAATTACATAAATAAATGAAAAGATACCTTATGTTCATGGAGTGGAAGACATTGTTAGAATAGCAGTACTCCCTAAATTGATTGACAGATTCAGTGCAATCCCTATAAAAATTTTAATTACTATTTCTGCAGAAACGGACAAGGTGACCCTATAATTCATATAGAACTGCAAGAGGCCCTCAATACCAAAACAATCTTGAAATAGAAGCACAGCATTGGAAGACTCACACTACCTGATTTTAGAACTTATGCTAAGCTACTGTAGTTAAATCATAAGGATAGACACCTAGATCAATGGATTTAAATTGAGATTCCAGAAATTAACCCATATGTCTATGGTCAGTTGATTTTTTTTTTTTTGAGATGGAGTTTTGCCCTTTTTACCATACAGCCATACAATCATTTTTAAAAAGTATGTTTTTTTTTTTTTTTCTCACTTCATCCTGTATTTTAAAATAAATGTTTTCTTCATATAGATTTTTTTCCCCCTTGGGAGAAAAAAACAAAAACAAGATAATTCAAATACAGTAAAAACAAATAATAATTATTCAGGATCTTAGGTTCTGGGCAGTTCAAAAACAGCCAAACAGTTCTTTTTTTCCACCGGAATACCACAATGGCAGAACTTAAGAATCGTGATACTAAAATGGAGGGACGGTCCCAGCAGCTGCCCCTGGCTGGCTGGAACACACAGCACCACCCAGGCAGAGGCGGTGGGCGTCCTGATGCCAGCCTGCCCATCCCTCTATTCCAACCAGCCTCCTGGCACAGGGCTGGGCCCACATCCTGCCCTCTGCACCTTGATCTGGGCTGGGGCCGGCTGGCCTGGTCGCCCTGGCCATTGCTCATGCTGGAAATCCATCACAGGCTAAGTCACCTCCTTCAAGGCCAGGCCTCTCTCTCACAGATGCCAGTGAAGGAAAACAGATGCCCAGTCCACAAATCAGGATTGTTAGACTATGAAACATTCAAACGTTCACAGGGCAGAACGCTGAGCATAGACATAATCTCTCTAATCTCTGCCACCTAATGACACATATGTGACACAGCAGCCACATCTGCAATGCCTCTAGGGGCATCAAAAGAAAGTGTTTTTATTACATTTCACTTGGTTTTTGGAATGGCAGTCAGGAACCCTAGTGTTTTTGTTTTCTGTTTTTGTTTAGACACAGGGTTTTGCTCTGTTGCCCAGGCTGGAGTGCAGTGGTAAGATGATAGCTTTATTGTAACCTCAAACTCCTAGGCTTAAGCAGTCCTCTTGCTTTAGCCTCTGAAGTAGCTAGGACTACAGGTGCACATCACTACACCCAGTTAATTTTTAAACCTTTATTTTTCTTTTTGTAGAGGAAGGGTCTCATTTTGTTGCCCAGGCTAGTCTCGAACTACTGGCCTCAAGTGATTCTCCTGCCTTGGCCTCCCAAAGTGCTAAGATTTCAGGCATGAGCCGCTGTGCCTAGGCAGGAAGGCCAGTGTTTAAAGCAGTAGTGTATCTAACGCTTCACAGGGATCTTGTGTAATCAAATGGAGAAATCTTTGTTGATGAGTAAAATTATTATGTACTATGGGGTCTTCCTATTTGAAGGATGATGAAATGGTATGATTTGCATTTTCCATATCTGAAGAACATTTTTTGTCTCCACTTAATGATTTCTACCTGTTATCACTTTTGTTTAATGCTTAGTTTTCTATGTTTATCAAGAATTTCTCTCCTCTTGCTTAGATAAGCACTAATTATTAGAAATACAATGCAAGCCACATATGTAACTTTACATTTTCTAGTATCCACATTTAAAAAGTGAAAAGAAATAGGTGAAATTAATCTGTATAATGTTTTATTTAGCTGTATTCAAAATATTGAAATACTTGATTTATTTATTTTTTTTAAATTTTTTGAGATGGAGTCTCATTCTGTCGCCAGGCTGGAGTGCAGTTGTGCGATCTCGGCTCACTGCAGCCTCTACCTCTTGGGTTCAAGGGATTCTCCTGCCTCAGCCTCCTGAGTAGCTGGGACTACAGGTGCACCGCCACACCCAGCTAATTTTTGTATTTTTAGTAGAGATGGGGTTTCACCATGTTGGCCAGGATGGTCTTGATCTCCTGACCTCATGATCCACCCACCTGGGCCTCCCAAAGGGCTGGAATTGCAAGCGTGAGCCACCACGCCCGGCCTAAAATATTTTAATATATAGACAATACTTTTCTAAAATCTATTAATGAGGAACTTTACATTCTTCTAAGTCTTCAAAATTCATTGTGTGTTTTTATACTTGCATCACATCTCAATTCCAACTCGTCATATTTCAAGTTCTCAATAACCACATGTGGCTAATGCCTAAAACACTGGACAGTGCAGGCTTAGATAATTACAACTAGGACGTTGTCTCTAGAAGAGATGGGTTTGTTACTTCTGGGAGTGGAATAACGTTTTATTTCTCTTTGTGGCCCCAAAACAAGAATTTGTTTATTAGCCAACTGTTGACTTAAAAGATACAAAGGGCTGAGCACGGTGGCTCATGCCTGTAATCCCACCTACTCAGGAGGCTGAGGCAGGAGAATCGCTTGAACCCAGGAGGCAGAGGTTGCAGTGAGCCGAGATTGCGACATTGCACTCCAGTCTGGGCAACAGAGTGAGACTCCACCTCAAAAAATAAAAATAA